ACACAATATAATTTATTGTGTTCTACTGTCTAACTCAACGTTTCCGCATCATTATTTTCTGTCATATTTTCTGTTTTATTATTTGAAGACACGTGGACTAATATGACTATATATATATAGGCTATATGTTTGAAGAACTGATTTTTTTAAGACACAAAAAAAGTTTTTAAGAGATACAGTTTGGAATATTTTAATATAAGGAGGCATAACCACCCTATATTCTAACTTTCCACCAGTACAGGTACACTTTGCTTACTAACAACGCAAAACAAAAAATGTTACAAACAACCCAATACAATAATATTGTAATTATGTGTATACAATTTAATTATTTAATAGTGCAGCAAGAATGCCTTTTCAGCTGTATATACATAAAAAAAAATGTTTTTTAGTGATTGTAATTTAATCAGCCAAATAATGTAAAGGCACTTGGCTTTAAAGTTAAAAAATATTATCACAATGATTTTTTTTAATAATATCCTAATTAGCTGTATATACACACAAAATGTTTTTAGTGATTGTAATTTCATCAACCAATAGGCACTTTAAAGTTAAATTATGATATCCCAATGAAATTTTAACAATCTCCTAATTACTGTAGCTGTATATACATAAAAAAAAAATTGTAGTGATTGTAATTTAATCAGCCAAGTATAGGTACACTTGGCTTCAAGTTAAATAATAATCTCATAATGAATTGTTAATAATGTCCTAATTATCTGTATATACATAAAAAAAATGTTTTTTAGTGATTGTAATTTAATCAGCAAAATACTGTATAGGCACTTGGCTTTAAAGTTAAATAATAATATCACAATGATTTTTTAATAATGTCCTAATTAGCTGTATATACATAAGTTATTTTTAGTGATTGTAATTTCATAGGCCAAATATTGGCATTTGGCTTTAAAGTTAAATAATGATATCCTAATGAAATTTTAATAATCTTCTAATTAGCTGTATACACATAAAAAATGTTTTTTAGTAATTGTAATTTAATCTGCCAAGTACAGGTACTTAATGCTACAAACAACCCAGTGCAATAATATTGTAATTATGTGTATACAATTTAATTATTTAATAGTGCAGCAAGAATGCCTTATTTTTATTTTTTTTTTTACATTATGTTGGTTTCCAGCATATCATATGTATTCATTCCAGCATTTTTATTCATGATTGGCAATGTGTTGTATATTTTAGTAATCAGTTACAGTATATGTAAATAGTTTATTGTGTAAATCATATTTAAATAATAATCGAAATTTAGAACCTGAAACTTGTTGCTTTGTTTGCACATGGCGTCTCTAAACAATAAGTTCCAGAAAGGCTGCATGGATTTCAGTATGTTTTTCTTTAATGTTTGTTTACATGTTTTTGGAGAAGCTTTTTTAACTACCAAATTATTTTTATATATAATTTGACATACAAAAGAAACAATTCAAATTTTCACAAAATTTATTTCTTTTATTTATTTTAGGACAAAAACAAAAACAGACAATACAAAATAAGCAAGACTAGGCTTCAATAGCTAGCTGCCAGCAATTTAAAGCTAAAAATAATAAAACAAAAAAAAATCCATAGTCAGCTAGCTGCCAGGGCTTCTCTCTTTAGAGATTATGCTCAACAGATAAATCCCCATTGGAAACATGTCATACGCAGAAACCAAAAGCTCCACGGAATTGTTCAAGCAGAACTCTCAACAAAAGTAGATTATAAAGATGTGGGTTAGGAAAAAAGTCCTGAGAAGGTCCATGAAACCATTCATGCGTTAACTCAGACATAAAGATGTGGGGTGAATCACTCATGCGGAACTCTGCTATCCAAGTTGTTGGCTCATTGTGTGCACTGTAGCGTGTACCTAAATACAACGGCGGGGTGAAATTAGAAGATGTAACAGCAGTATGTTCCACTAACTTAAATTTCGTACTCGGTAAAATGTGTTATACCGAGCCGATTTTTATCAATTTAAAGTCGTTATGAGGTGCTAGTTAACGTTTAATAATATTTTTGGAAAGAAAATAGTGAAATTATGTCTCTAAATAGAAGTTCATATGCACCAGCCAAATATAGTAGAATTGTTTAATGCACCAGCCAAATGTAGTAGAATTGTTTATCAGTGAGATTAATCTGTGAATAAACAATTTTAATTACTTGTGTAAATATAAAGATGTGGGTAACCCACATCTTTATATACGACTTTTCATGGACCTCGACCTGCTATGTAACGTAACTATTCATGTGATCGTCATAAGAATAATAATAAAAACATTTACACTATGTACCGTAACTCTCTACTACAGTATATAGATTTATTAACTACCGGTAATAAGTCTTTTAAATTATAGGTAAGGCTCATAATGTTTCTACCTGTCTGGTTTTCTCCGGTGGTCCTAATTTTCCCACAAGTCGGGGATACAAGATTCTCCAGCAAATTTACTTATTTTCATGTTTTTTTACTACGCCCTGGCTGTTATCAATTATCTCCCATAAGTCAGTATCGATAAGTATAACTATGCACGGCAAAATATCCAACTTGGGACCTGGTTTCGTTTGTACTCAAACACACCTTAAATTTTGGGCTCATTACAAAATAGACAGGTTCAGGCAAACATACTGTTTAATTTGTACTTTCTAAGTAAAAACTATATACTGTCTGAAAAATGATTTTATTTGATAATCCACTGCAAATACCGTCCAAGCTTTCGTTATATCTTCAGAATTCCTGTATATGAAAGTCAATACTTTTCACTTTCACAACACGTCACAGTGTGTTTAGTAATATTTAATTTGGGTTTAACCTAAAAAGCAAATTTTGGCAGTCTATTGTGGTCTTTTCAGTGGTGCTTGTCATGTATTTTACATCCTCAAGAGAAAAGTTATTCATGGATAGAAAATAAACAAAGTACTTGAATGATTTTCACTGCAGTACCATTTCCGCTGTATTTGCGACATAATTCAACAACAACCCTTATAAATGACTACTACTGAATGATGATAATAATGAAGATGATCATTACTATGGCGGTGAATAATAATAATAATATATAATAATACAAATATGGTATTTATATAGCATTATGTAATTGTTTTTTTACATTAAAGTAACAGTACATATGGTTGAAAAATATAATAATAATAATAATAATAATAATTATAATAATAATAAAAATATGGTATTTGTTTAGCATTATGTAATTAGGTTTTTTTACACTAAAGTAACAGTACATATGGTTGAAAAATATTTCAGAAGGTATTTCCCCCTTTTTCCATAAACATGAATAGAAAACATAACAAAGTACTTTTTTTACAGTGAAAGTCAGTTGTCATTTAAAAATGACAACTGACTTTCACTGTATTGCCATTTCCGCTGTACTGGCAACATAATATTAAACAACACTCCTTAAAAGTGACTACTAATGATAATAATGATCATTACTATGACGATGAATCAAAATAATTATAATAATAATAGTATTTATATAGCATTATGTAAATTGCAGGTCCCTAGATTTTTAACACTCTATACTACAGTACATATGGTTGAAAACTATTTCCACCTTCCTCCATACACAAAATATAAGATTCAAAGTTTGTAGATATTGGCTTGGTGCAGTGTTACCATTTATTTTACTAATTTATGTTAATTTATGTAATCTTTATTGTTGTTGACATTATTATGTCAAAGGCTTTTCTTGCATATAACAAAGCTGATATTGATCACATGTCCCACCTTTGTCACATTGCACCTTGGAGCATTTTTATGGAAAATTCTATTGAAAATTCTTGGGAGGGTTTTTGAGATGTACTGGATGCAATTATTAGAGATAGTGTGCCTTTACGTCATTCTTCTAAGAAAAATAAATGTAAGCCATGGATTACACCAGAAATTAAGAAATTAGTTTAAAAAAAGCATAGGCTATTTAAACGTTTTAAACGATTACAAAATGATTACTCATGGGATGACTACAAGAAAATCAGAAATAGAGTAAGATATATAAGCAATAAATCTTACTATAATTATGTTGAAAATCTCTTTACTGGTGACAAAACTAGGAAAGTTTTTTGGCGTTTTGTGCGAGAACAAAAAAGGTCCCCGGCTCCACATTCTTTCAAAGTTAGTGGAGAAAATGTTTCTTCACCTACAAGCATTGCAAATTCTTTCAACAAATATTTTGTTTCTGTTTTTAATCCACATATGCCTTCCACCTCACACCCTGCACCGTGTGACTTCCCTATTCCTGAACTGTCATCTATTGACTTTAACGTCGATGACATTATTACGGCTTTAAACAAGTTAGACGTGCAAAAATCACCAGGTCTTGATAATATACATCCCTTCTTTTTAAAGAATACTTGTGAATTCATAGCCTATCCCCTTTACACCATTTTTAAAAATCCTTGTATTCTGGAACGTTACCTTCTGCTTGGAAATCATCTCTGGTTACTCCGATCTATAAATCCGGTGATAAAACTTTAATTTGCAACTATCGTCCAATCTCACTAACTTCAATTTGTTGCAAAATACTTGAAAAAATAATATCCTCTAATATTCTAGAACATGTCAGCACCAATTGTCCTATAAGTGAATTTCAACATGGATTTGTTCCCTCCCGCTCATGTGTTACTCAGATCACTAACTTAGTTCATAATTGGTCGAAAATTTGGGATAGACGTGGTACTTCCCCAAGGATTGACGTTATTTTTGTTGATTATGCCAAAGCGTTTGACAAGTTACCCCACCACATTATTCTCCATAAACTTGCATCTCAGTTTAATATTAGAGGTTATGTTTGGAAATGGATTAATTCATTTCTACACAATAGAACACAGAGAGTTGTTTTCCAAGGTGCTGTTAGCGAGCTACTTCCTGTCTCTTCGGGAGTCCCACAAGGGAGTGTCCTGGGGCCATTGATTTTTAACCTTTTTATTAATGATTTAACTTATGCACTACCTTCATGTGCCTTATTTGCTGACGATACAATCATCTACAGAGCCATCCACAGTAAGCAAGATGAATGTCTTGTTCAACGTGATCTAGAAGCCTTAGAAGGATGGTGCATGAGAAACAAAATGACACTTAATTCTTCAAAAACTAAAGTTCTTCACATTACCCGGTCCAAAAATACCAATCGTCCTACTTATGTTCTTAATAATCTTCCAATTGAATCTGTACAATCGCATACTTACCTTGGAATAACCCTGAATCGAAACCTCACTTGGAATGACCATGTTAAGGCTATTACATCCAAAGCTAACAGACTTCTTGGATTCATTTCCAGCACAGTCGGTGGGGCATCCCCGAAAGCTAAATTCTACCTCTACCGTGCTCTTGTACTACCTGTACTTGAGTATGGAATTCCAGCCTGGTTACCTCATACTGCTACACATTCCGATAGTATAGAAAAAAATCCAAAGAAGGGCCGCACGACTGGCACTGGGACAGTTTAGAGGTGATATGGAATATTATATTGACAGATTATCTAAACTTCACTGGCCTCAACTTTCAACCCGAAGGCAATTTCTTTTGATTTCATTTTTTTTCAAGGTTCTTTTGGGTTATGTCGACTGTATTTCTAACTCTATCCAAATCTGCACTTTTTTACCTCGCCACAGTGAAATTCTCTCCTTCAAACACCTTAAAGCTAATCATGATTTTCTCCACAAATCTGCAATTCACGCTTTCCCTCGTCTTTGGGAAGACCTTCCTAATGATCTTAAGAATTCTCTCGTCCTTGATTCCCTTCCCATATTTATTTCTAGACTCAAATCACACTTGTATACACAACATCCCTCATCTGAATAAAAATGATCTCATAACTGTAATAATCTTGTTGCTATAGTGGTTATTGTAATTGCAACTACTATGACAACAATAACAACAACAATAATCGTAATAATTATAATAATGATAATAATAATAATAATAATGATAACTATTATAATATTAATAATATGATAATGATGATGGTTATTATTTTTGTTATGATTGTTATAATGAAGATAATGGTAATTGTAGTTTTAATGGTACATAATGGTGATAATAATAATTAATAATAATTATTATAATTATAAATAATAAATAATAAAATAATAATGGGAATTTTGCTGTAATGATGGTAATAATAACAATAGGTTTTGTAGAATAATTATAATTATTATTGTTATTACTGTACTTAAATGGTGATTGTGATGACCTTGTTTTTTGCTTTTAATGACTGTTTTTGCATTTATTCTTGTTTTTTTGTTTTTTTTTGTTTATGTATTTATTCTTTTTTTATTTTTTGCTTGCTTTTTGCTTGATGTTGTGATGTGTTGTCTATTATATTTTATCTTTCATTTTAATGATGTTTTTTTTTTTATACTGGATGGGAGTGGTTCTCAAACAATTGTTATAGTAATTAAGTTTACTTTAGAGACCAGGCCCTCCCATCAAGATTATTCTATTGTGCAATAAAAGAATAATAATAATTATTGTTGTTATTATTTTTTATATGCCCATATATAGTCATGATGTGCCTTGTATGGTCATGTGATGTCATTATGACCATATTTAGGCATGTCACATGCTTAATTGTTAAATAAAATTTGATAGTCTGGACAGGGCTTCATTTTTTTTTTATCTTACAGAGGACAACTTTGAAGTAGAAACTATTGTAAATGACCTTGAACCCGGAAAGTGTTATTCACAAGGAAATGTTCATGAGTTTATGAAACTTATTTATAAACCAACAGGCAAGACTAATGCTAAGGTAATGTACAACAGGGTACTAATGGAGGGCTGATGGGAAAGTGTAAGGGAGAGCTGTGGTACAGTGTGAGGTGATTTTTAACTACAGTACTTAAAAATGTATTTTTTTTTCTCAGCATCATGGTTCAAGAAGGGGGGGGGGAGAGAGGTGTGGTTCAAGGAGGAAGGGGGTGTGGAAATCTGTTCTAGTTGGCAAAACATCCATGTTTCCCCTTCCTTGCATCGCAGAATCATTTAATAAATCTTATCTGACAAAACTCAATGATAATGGTTTTGTGTTTTTACAGTGCCTTCAAAATATAAGTATATCGTCTAATTATTAGAAGGTCTGAAGTAATTAGAATTGTTTTGTTTCAATATTACTTTATTTATTTATTTATTTGTTTCTATGTTTATTTATTATTATTTATTATATAACTAACTTACTGAAATGAGAATGTGATTTTAATCAGCATTGACGAGGTATGTCAATTTTTATAATGGTGTGAACGAAGGATTGCGCTTCTTTATGTTGTTATTATGACAAGTTACACTAAAAACCAAAATATAAATTAAACCACTGTGTTTTATAAACTCAAATTTTAGGAAGAAATATAGTAGAACCCTTCTTTGGGACACCCCTATTCTAAATTAACACCCCTTAAGGGTATATTAAACACAATATTGGTCCCAAAGGTGTCCCCTTAATAAGGGTTCTACAATTTCAAATATACAATATTCCTTTTTTATTAAAATGCAAATATATGGCATATTGATATCAAAATGATGTATAGTAATGTGTTGATGTGTGGAATGTGCAGTTTGCAAATAAAAACTTCAGTGTAAAATCAAATTCGCTATAGAATTGTAGTTGATTTTATTTGTGTTTGATTGAGAATACAAACAACTGTAGAAAAGAGAATATACAGTATTATAACAAAGCACATTTTGAGTTACAATTTATCTAAATAATTTGTTTTAATATTTCTGTTTTTTTTTTTGTCTTTGATTTTATAGGTTATGTACATTGGTGATAGCCTGAGGTCTGACATTTTTCCTCCATCGCAATATGCTAATTGGACAACGGTGCCAATCTTGGAAGAAATGGAAATAGAGGGCATGATGGAATACAGTATTGATGGTGATAATGATGAGCCTAGTTCAAAGAAATGCAAAATAATAGTAAGCGATATCTAAAGTTTGTTTTGCAATGTCGTTTCTATGAAAACTTGTCCTTTTTTACCTCTCTGCTGCATTTGACACAGCAGATCATTGCATTCTGGTTAAACGTCTTGAATCTGTTTTTGGCATTACAGGGTGTGCCCTCGTTGATTAAGTTTTACATATGCAGTAGAAGTAGTTTCTATTTCTGGTTCATATTCTGCCCCACATCCCCTAATCTATAGAGTGCCCAGGTTCAGTTATTGGGCCATGTTTATTCAGTGTTTACATTTGTCCACTCAATGCTATTCAGCATTATGGCATTTAATTCCACTTTTATGCTAATGATCTTCAACTTTATGTACCTTTTGACCCCAGCAATCCTAACATCACTGTCTCCACTTTACAGACCTTATAGTGTTGCTGATATTCAGCAGTGGTAGTTATGTTGATAGGGGACACCATTATTCATCCCTCCGGAAGTGTCCGCACTCTTGGAGTGACATTGACTCGTCAGCAGGTTTCAGCTACATGTATCAAATGTTCGTAAGGTTGTTAAGTTTCATTGAAGAAACTTAAGGAAAATCAGGAAGTTTATAGATAGGGATATACCTGCCATGCTGCTCTGAGGGCACTGGGTCTTTCAAGACTGGACTACTGCAATGCATTGTACAGTGGCCTGTTAAAAAGAGATTTATACACCAGGAATGAACATTAGAAGATATCATCTTGTCTCATGATGATTTCTTAAAACAACACAAAAAAAAAATGAAATAAAGAAACAATGCTGCGCACATTCGTAATGTATAATAAAATACTGTAATAAAAAAAAAAATTTGTCCTCTTTTTTTCATGATTTTCATTTTTTCGTTTTTCTCCTATTATACAGTGATCTTATGCTGTATCAATATTTACATATGCGTTCACAATTCAAAACAATTTTGTATTTATACATTATTATAATATAAAACAAATTTAAAAGAAAAATTAATTGAATTTCAAAAGCATATTTTTTTAAAAATAGTAGTAGAAAATTGTACATTTCCCGTAATTCATTTCCTCCATACCTATACATACAATATATGTATTACACACACACACACACACACACCCATACACATACATAAATACACCAACAAAAACACATCCATGCACACCAACCCGCAAACCCACACATACACCCACCAATAACCTACACATATACATAGGCCTACTTAAAAATTCATACACACAAATATTACAAACCTTTTACACATACACTACATCATACCAATTATTAAATATTTTTGTTTTACTCCTATTTTTCATTTTCTTTAACCTTAATTACTGTACCTTTGCAATAGACATTCAGTTTATACATTCCACATTCTTTCAAAATAATTAATTT